TATTTCCAGTTCCCTCTGGAAACAAAAAGTGACCGAACAAAATCATAATATAGCACCGTGTTTTGACTAGTTTGTCATATTCGGTGCTATCCTCACTTAAGACAATATTGTTCTATTATTCTCTGAGGTATTTTAGATTTATTCCCTGACCCCTCGGGCGGCCCTCGCTTTCCGCCTGAGTTGTGTCCACACAAAGAGGGGCACCCAATAAATCTTCGCAAAGTCGGTCAGGGGCACCAACTTTGCCGTTGACGGCCTTACCATCGATGTGTAGGCCGAGCAACATGTATACGTCTTGGAGAGTCACAGTACACTCACCAAAAGGTAGGAGAAATGTATGTGTCTCGGGTCTCCAACGTTCTAACAACGCTAGAATAAACTTCATATCGAGAGAGTATGATTTAATTTTGATCAAATCACCAAACCCACAATGATGAAGGTACCCCGCTATGAGGGGGTCGTGTGGTATATAATCATGCACATGACATCGGAACCTTGATGCGTCCTGCAATGTGGTCCAGTTGGGCAAATAATATACAAAAATCCAGTGTTTTTTAGTGGCCACATCGAATGCAAATTTTTCCCGTTAAAGGTGCGAGACGATGGCGATGTGTGTAACATGTTCCGCAGTCACGAGTATTCTGGTTTCTCAGATATCGTGTTACATGTTACGTTACAACAACAACAACTGTCTCAACAACTTGATTCTTCTCAAGTTTTTTGTGATTCTGACGTGGAACACGTTGAAGTCAATGTCGTTGACGAAGAAGAAGAAGCAACTGAAGTCACTGTTGACGAGATGGTGAACAACCAGGAGGATGGGGTTCCACCCTGCCATGTTTATTGCCCACCTCAGCACATGAGAACTCTCGAATTAGGTGGTGATGAACCCTCGACAGATATTTTCTACAACCCCAACTACGCAACAGAAGGGCAACTAAAAGAGGGTGACGAGTTTCGTACCAAAAAAGATTGTGTCTGGGCAATCAAACAATTTCACATGGAGTTGTCATCCGATTATAGAGTCGATCGGACAAATCCGACGCGGTATACGATCTATTATCGTAACGAGGAGTGCATTTTTCGATTAACAGTGTCTTTCAGGAAGAGAAGCGATTCCTGGAAGATAGGTTCAATGGGTCCAGCCCACACTTGTATAATCTCGAATCCGATGCAGGACCATCGCAAACTCAGCACTCGCTTGATTTGCGATGAGATTCTGTCAGTCGTTAGCGACAACCTGTCTTTGAAGGTGAGTACCATAATTGCACATATGGTTCAAAGGTCCAATTACACTCCTTCATACCGAAAAGCCTGGATTGCTAGGACTAAAGCGGTTGAAAGGGTGTTTGGGAATTGGGAGGAGTCGTACAAGGAACTTCCAAAATTCCTGGTGGCTCTTACACACTACTCTCCAGGAACTGTTGCGATATTGGAGACAATGTCTGCGTGTACACCAGACGGGACTTGCGTTGGTGGAAATGGAATTTTTCACAAACTCTTTTGGGCGTTTGAACCATGCATCAAAGGGTTTGCATATTATAAACCTATAATTCAAATTGACGGAACTTGGTTATACGGGAAATATAAGGGCACACTGCTCATGGATGTGGCACAGGACGGGAACAACAACATTTTTCCAATAGCCTTCACTATAGTAGAAGGGGAGACTGCTGGGGGTTGGAGTTTTTTCTTAAAAAATCTCCGCCCTTACGTGTCTCCCCAACCTAACTTATGTTTGATCTCTGATCGACACCCATCAATCGAGAGTGCATACAACAACCTTGATAACGGTTGGCAGGATCCTCCCTCTACCCACGTCTATTGCATAAGGCATATCGCCCAAAATTTCATGCGGGAAATCAAAGACAAGACGCTACAGGAAGAAGGTTGTGGACGCAGGATATGCACTAACAGAACCCATATTTAAATACTACCGTGACAAGATCAAACTAACAAATGCGGATGCATTAAGATGGATTGATAATATTGATAGGGAGAAATGGACGCGGGCATACGACAATGGTGTGCGATGGGGCCACATGACAACTAACCTCGTCGAATCAATGAATTATGTTTTCAAGGGAATATGAAACCTCCCGATAACTGACTTGGTAAAGGCAACATATTTTAGGCTAGGATCACTCTTTGATAGCAGACATACGAAATGGGGTTTAGTATTACAATCGAGTCAGCTGTACAGTGATACTTCAATGAAATTCATGATAGACGAAGCTGCCAAAGCCAACACACACGTTGTCACAATCTTTGACCGTACAGCTGGTTGGTTCAGTGTTGCCGAGTCGATTGATCACAACGAAAGAAGGCCTAGGGGATGTTACCGTGTTGAACTGGATAAGAGCTGGTGTGATTGTGGGAAGTTTCATGCATTTTGTATGCCTTACTCTCATGTTATAGCAGCATGTTCGAAGGCGCGCCAGGACTCAACCAACCTTCTTTCTGCAGCCCACCAAGTGATAAGTCTGTGCAATGTCTACACATGTAGCTTTCAGGTGGTGGAAAAGGAGGACTATTGGCCTCAATACGAAGGCGAAATTGTCTAGCATAATGACTTGATGCGTAGAAAGAAAAAGGGTTGGCCTAATAGCACGCACATTTGAACGGAGATGGATACCACAGACAAGCTGGTAAGATTATGTAGTTTGTGTCGGCAACCAGGACACAATCGTACAAAATGTCCTAATGTAGGATCAAGCAGCAGGTCATAGTTTCATATGTAACTGTGTCCCTTTAAATGAATAACAAATTTCATTCGATTAAAAACATACTTAACTGATTACAATTAGCAAGCAACATCAATTAAACAAACATAACTTAATATCACAACAACACTCCGAAAATAACAACAACATAAACACATAAAACAAAACACTGCACCAAGGCGTCTATGATATCACAACCATCAACGTTATCTTCTTTAGTGTTAACATCATCACAAGGACACCGGCATCATTTTCCACTTTCCTCCATTCACGAGTAACTCTGTTTCTCCCAGTCTCCTCGACCAACCTATCAATTTTCCTAATCTTTTCTCTTGGACCAATATCTCCTTCTAGCCAGTTGTTCAGTTCCCTATGCAAGTGCTCCAACGTCTGCGTATTCCACGGGAGCACCTTCATCGGAGGCTTTGTTGCTGAAAAGACAACTAGGGCATATCTTTTCATTATATCGAATGTTGGAAAGGGTTCCTCCGATTCTGATGACGACGACGAAAAACGTTGATTTAGAAATGCAGACATTCTAGACTCCACTCCACTCAAATGCACTAACGCTTCAGTCTTTTGACATACAATGTTGTGAAAACGTATATGTGTTTGCAGTCGTATTTATAGAAAAATAAAATAGTACGTGTCCCATATGATATGTCTTAAATAGCCTTACAAACTTTATACACTTTAAAATTCAATGGTTAATCAATTTTTATGTTTTAAAATTTACAATTTAAATTAATTTATATGCTTTAAAATTAAATGGTTAACCAATTTTTATTTTATATTTAAATTAATTTATAATTAAAATTTTAATAATGTTTATAATTTAAAAACAATAAATATTACTTATTCTATAATTATTACTTAAAAACAATAAATTATAATCACAATTATATATTTATTAAACCTAAATTTATAAAATTAATTTAAGTTTATTTTTAATTAAACCTAAATTTATAAAATTAATTTAAAATTATTTTTATTTCAACCTAATTATTTTAAGTTTAGTAATTAAAAACTTTATTTTAAATTACATGAAAAAATTAAAAATATTAATAATAATTGTGTTTATTATTTAAAAACTTTATTTTAAATATTAATCATAATTATATTTTAATTATGTTATAATAATAATTTTAATTAAAAACAGAAAAACGCAAACCCTAGCAAGCATGGTTTGTGTCGCCATTCTCATTGGCGAGTCTCTTGGCATAACAACAATGTCGCCAATCTGAATGGCGACTTCACTTAATTCCAAAAACACGGTTGAATGTGTGCTACTTTAGTTAATGTTTTGAAACTTTCAATATTATGATAAATTTTAAACAATAGTTGGTTATTATAAAAAAAAATTCACAACAAAAATTATCCGTAAGATAATCGAAAAATGTGGGGAAAAAAAAGACACAAATATAAATAAAATGAATTTATTTCACATTTTATTAAACTAGTCCTTGTGTTTCAAATTTCATCCAAATAAAAAATATTAATAAAATGAAAGTAGAATTAGTAGTTTAGTGAAATTTAAAATATAAAATTTTAACAAAATTACAAAAAATATATATTTATATTTAACATGGAAAAATCTTTGATTATAACTTGAAATTTCTAAGCATTCTTGTTTTTTTGGTAATGATTTCTAGTCATCCACTCTTTTTTAAATCTCAAATCCTTTTACGCCAACTTCCTTGATTCTCACATTCATATCATTTTAGTTTTTATTTTATTTTTTATTCATTTGTATATATTTTCCCATTTTTCTTTCTCCCGCACAAATAAGATGTCTGTTTTTCAATTTTCTTATTTTTGTAAAAATATTGAACTATATATTTTTCTCAACCATCAAATTTCTTTTTGATGAAAATTCTTCTAAAAACAACTTAAAAAAAAGAAGAAAAAAGTTTTACAATTTATTCTTCCTCCTCAAAAACAATGTCACTTTTTAGCTATATTCTGAGATTAGTCATATGATCTTCATCGTCTTACCTACCATATAATTTTCAATTAAAAACTCTATTAACATAGTTTATGAGTATAAAAGCATACATTTCTACATTGGATAGATTATTATACGCCGAAAATCAAATAACAAAAAGCTCACATTTTTCTAAGAAATGGAGAAAATATCTACTCTCATAAAACCTATTTAAGCAGAGTATTTAGTACAACACATAATATTTGAGTTTCGGAAGTCCAATCTTAACTCATCAAACTAACTGATAATACTTGCATTTGAAAAGTAGAACAAGACAGAATATGCTAGTTTACTCAATCAAGCAAATCGGAAACTGGAGTTTTCCTAAATGGATCAATTTGAGCCAATTGGTCAGATAAAGCTCTGTTGGGAAATATGTTATCAGCTTTCATCCTCTCCCTGATCCCATATGCCGGAAGTTTGGCGTTTTTATAAGCCTGTGCTAGAGAATTGAACGGAGTTATTCTAGAAATATAACCAGCTTGTCTCATTCGATGGAAAATCTTCTCTGCATTATGGACGTCACCCCTCTTTGCATACTGCTCCATAACAGTCATATAAGTAGTAAACAATGGCCTCATCCTTTTCTGCTGTAGTGCCTTCTGCAAAACAGAATCTGCCTTTTCGACTTCCCCGGCTTGAACATAAAGTGACACAAGTGCATCCCAGGTCATTGGACCTATAACACACCCACTATCTCCCATTTTCTTAATAAGATCCTTACCCTTGATTAGCATATTATTCCTTGTATAAATTTTCAGAAGTACTGAGTAATTCTTGGCGCTAAGTTTCCATTTATTTGACATCATCTCAAAAACTGCTTCTGCTTCTTCAATTTTCTTCAACCTTCCCCAAGCTTCAACTGCAGCAAGGCAATCCTCAACCCGAGGCTTTGACTCACAAACCTTCCAGATTCTCTCGACTTCATCAGCCCGCCCCAGAATTGCATAAAGGCGGAGCAAAGTTGGGCATACCCACATATTCTCTTTCAAGTTTTCACCTTCAATCCCCTTCAATATAGCTTCAGTTTTCTCTGTAAGCCCGGCTGAGGCATAATGCCTAGCCAAGGTTGCCTGTGTTTGATGGTCTAGTTCAACACCTTCCGCTTTCATTGTTTCAACAATTTGATCCATTCCATCAATATCATTTGACAGACCCTTCACGTCTATTAAAATTTTATAAGTAAAAGGAGAAGGTTTGACGTTCTCCTTTTCCATCATAAGTAACACATCGGCTATTTTCTTCTTGTCAGTCCTCTTATAAATTAGAAGCAACTGGTTACAAGCAAATGGTGTAATAGGAAAATCTAACTCCCTCATTTTGTTAAATATTTCCTCAGTTTTCTTCAAATTGTTCAAACTTGCACAGTTAGCTAGTAATGTTCTGTAAAGTAACTCTCCTTTGAAAGATTTTGGAACATGCTCCATGTACTTTTCAGCATTTGGTAGGCCACGCAATTTGGCAATCAGATCAAGTTTAGAAGCGTACTCTCTATCAGTAAATTCAAGCTTTTTGTTTGACTCTAGCCAATCCAAGACCTACAGTTACAACCATAGAAAGAAAAAAGAAAAAATTACATTATAAAACATAATATTGTAAAACCAGAAACATAAACAAGGTAAAAAATATACATTAACAATAACAATGTAATACATAAAATATTAATTCAAGTGTCATAAAAAAATGGAACAAAAAGTGTGTCCTGTGTTTTTTGTACTAGCAGTGTCTACGTGTCTCTGTCAAAGTTCATTCAATTATAAATAATAATTGAATTAATAAAAACATGTGTTAACAAGTCATAACCCTTTTGCGTCATTGCAAAAGTCCATGTCGCAAGTGCCACATGGACTCTTAGTCACAGTGTTGACAAAAAATATAAAAGACCAAAAGTCAAAGAATAATTTATAGCCTAAAAAAGAAATTAAAAAAATGATATGGTTAAAAATAAATTAACCCAAGAAAATAAGAACAGAAACAAAGATGTCCTTAATTCAGACATAAAAGATTGGGCTCAAGTGGTTGATGAACTCCACTTAGGATGAATCATTTGGAAGAATCTGAGTTTGAATCCTGGATGGAACAATTCTTAGCCAGGCTTTGCTTACATCCTGAACGAACTCCATATTACTGCTGCTCCCTTCCCATGAGAACCGAAGGGTTAACACCGAAAAAAATCAGAAGAGTGAGAGAGAAGGGAGGGGGGAGCTGAGAATGAATTTTTTTGGAACCAACCCATCAGATAGAATGCATGAATCAGCAGAAGGTGATCGGCAATCAACATGTTGCTTTATTGGCCAGAAAAATAACCATAACCGGCCAGAAGACGGTCAAACAAGTAGACATGGCTGGAAAAATAAGTGGGATGCTGAAAATAGGAAGTTTGGCTGAAAGTTCAACAGAGGTGGGGCGGTGTGGTTTTGTCCAATGGCATAACAGAGAAGAATAAGTGGAGCTTGCGTATCTAATATTGACGTTTAGCAGCCAACCTGCAATGGCCACACAATCAAAACACAGGATAATATTTTTTATGATGAATAGGCCCCTGAAAGCATGATAGGTGATGTACTCAAACAAATTCAATTGTCAATCATATCAGAAGCTAACTCTAATAACAGAATGTAAGCCGTCTCTAGTTTAATCATACAGAAATACAGTTACTAATACATACAGGAAGTAAAACATACTTATATGCAATTACTCTATTAAAGAATAAGTGGGATGGAATGGACCTGTGAAACTCTGATGTGACAATAAGCCAGCAATAAGCAATTCAGTATAGCACGTAATATCAGGGATGGACCGACATTTTATCAATGAATAGCTCATGTGTGGTTTGATTTGTACTGGTATGTACCCCCACAAGGCCAACTTGCAGACATTATTACCAAAGGATTGAAGTCCATATTTTGAAGAAATATTATGCAAGCTGGGAATGAGAAATAGCTATTCTCCAGCTTGGGGAAGTGTTGGAAACAGTCACATTAGCAACAAGCCTATACTCTTTGTACAACAAGCCTATTCTCTAGAGTGAGTTGCTCACATGAAACAGTAAAAGGGGGTAATATCAATTGTTGATATGTTGGCACAATCATAACAAATCATGGATAGTAGAAATATCAACTGTTGATTTTCTCCTTTACTATCTATTTCACTATAAACGCTGAACTGTGCCGCTATTCCTTCTCCTTTTGCGACCGGCCTCTCGCCACGCCGCTATTCCTTCTCCTTTTGCGACCGGCCTCTCGCCACGCCGCTATTCCTTCTCCTTTTGCGACCGGCCTCTCGCCACGCCGCTCTCACTGGGTAGAGCCACTAGCGGCCATTATCAACTTCTCTGACATATACAACATACTATTAAGTTTTAAATTACAGATCACTTACTTAAAAATCTCACACGATGGTGACCTAGTTTCTCTCTATTCTAACAATTGAAATATCATTTCCTGTGGCCAACTAACTTTCCCTTTACGATTCATATGCAGGCATTCTCAACACATATTCAAACTAAGTAAGATGGGACTCTACCATCTTTTCTATAACGGAAACAACCATAATTTACCTCTAACAATTGTATTTCTAAACCTATTACTTACCCATCTGTTGTAAGATACTAATCTCTCCAACGCTAAGTTTACTATCTTAACATAAATATTTTGAATGTTAAATTGTATAAATTGGACAAATATAAGTTTAATTCATTTACCTGCAAAGCCTTTCCAAACATTTTACGCTTTCGAAGATTAAGCAAGGTCGACGAGATCTCTTTTCTGCTTAATTCCTTACCTTTTGCAACCCACTTGTCTACAGCAGATTCAACGGATAAACTCGAAGCGTTTACAACAGCCTTGGATAGTTCAGACCGACTCTTTCCACTCTGTGATTTTTTCTCAGCTGGATCACTCTCAGTATCCGAAAACTCCAGCTCATCTCGTGGTTTCCCGCCATCCTCGTCACCATCCAACAGGTCTGTCTCAGAATCAACGCTATCTCCATCTGCATCCAACTCAATCAACTGATCCTCAATCTCCATGTCATCATCATCATTGTCATCTTTCGTGCTACTAGCATCAGCTTGTGACGAAAGTTCACGCCTGCTCACAGTAAATTGCTGGAAAGCATTACCTGTGCGGTAAAATGAGTGGCCCTTTGACAGAAATCTAGCATGTATCATTTGATGAGAATCAGGAACGGCATCCTCATGTTCCACCAAAGTGTTCAGCATTAATTTGACACGAGACGTTCCGACATTATTACTAAGCGCTTGGTTTCTACGAAGGAAATGCACAATAAATAATTAGCAAAAACTCATGCATTTGCATTTGTGTAACAAAAAAATCAGCAACTACCACTCAAATTCATAAAATTAGGCACACAGTGCGGTTATTGGTCGTAATAGTCAATCAGAAACCGCTGCAGAAGAGTTAAAAATTGATATAGATGCTTAAAAACATAAAAATAAAACTACTGAAACAGGTTATGAAAGGAAGATGAGAGAAAAGAAAAATGATGCAGCAGGAAGGGTTACAAGTAATCGATGAAGGTCTGGAAATGGTGATGATGGTGGAAGAATGAGATTACCTTAAGCTGAGGTGAATCGAAGTTCGACGAAGAGCCAACATGATTAGAAGAGAGCAGAAATGAGCGACGATGAAAAGCTGAATGCTTAAACCCTAAAAACTAAACCAAATCCAAAAACCCTTTTACCCTTATATAATATATATATATATATATATATATATATATATATATATATATATATATATATATATATATATATATATATATATATATATATATATATATATATATATATATATATATATATATATATATATATATATATATATATATATATATATATATATATATATATATATATATATATTATATCGTGTATCTGCGCGCTACTAAATTAGGATAAAACCGTCCTTTCAAAAAACACAACTAAAATAAAACTCGGTGGGCTATATCCCGCCAGTCCCTCAAAATTAAGAGAATTTCTTAAGACACCCTATGTATTTTTTAGATATTATGTAGATTTTTTATAATATTTTTAGTTTCTGAAGATATAGTTTCGGACGCACATTTTTCATACTTAAGGAAGGTCATTCTAGATGACGTTCCATACAGTTGCTAAAAATTTATTTCAAAAACATATCTCCGAAACCATTTAAAGAAAACATGAAAATTAATCGGTTCAGTGGATGTTCTAGAGATATATCTCTGAAAGATGTGAGCGGCAATTTTCCTGTCACCTTTATATGTCAGATTATTTCAGAGATATATTTCCAGAAATATCTGATATAGTTTCAAGCTGCATGATCAGTCCCCCATTGTTGTCATTCTTCATTTCAACTCCCTAAAAATCATACATTCTCAATTCCATTTTTTCACTCTAAATCTCCATCCTTTTGGTTCAACATATCACAGGGAGTAAAAGAAAATCAAATTTCAAGTAAAGATTGTTCATTCTCTTATGCATTGCTCACATTAATCATAAAACTTTGCTGGAAAAAACTTACGCAATGTCCGAAGATGTATCTCTGAAATGTGTTGAACATGAACTTTTTTGGAGATATAGTTCTGGAATATTTTTGTGTTCATTTTCCTTCCTTTTCTACAGTAGCAGATTAATTATTTTTATTGTTTTTATTATTTTTAATAGATATAGTGCACCCCGATAATATCTCGAAACGAGTAGTTTCTTCGAACGAAGTTTCTCTGAATGTTCAAGGGATTGTTGTTAAGGCGGTAGATGTTTGCAATGAATTTAATAACAAGCAAGAGTATGAAAATCGTGATAACATGCTCGAATGGATTCGTATTATGGCATCTAGACTTGGATTTGGTGTGGTTATCAGAAGGTCGGATAATGACTCGGATATAAGAAGCGCCTTTGTGACTATGTTGTGCGAAAGAAGCGGGAAATATCGAACTCCTCTCCAGAAATTTAAGAGAGAAGACACGGGTAGTAGAAAATGTGAGTGTCTGTTTAAGCTTCATGGTTACATGTTGGCTAGCAAAAAATGGAGATTTAATATCATTTGTGGTGTACATAACCATTAATTGTGCTTAAAATTAGCCGAACATCCTAGTGTATGCTGGCTCAAGTCAGAGGAGAAGGTATACCTGCAACATTGGAACAGAAGCAAACCGATAATATATCAAACAGCAAGCAAGTGTATAACATTTGATACCTCACTAACAAGGTGATTAGGGGAGATAGAAATGAGATGCAACAACTATTGAAACTCTTGGACAATAACAGTTACGTGTCCCGGTACCGAACTTGCGACGATGGAGTTACGGTTAGAGATATTATTTGGACTCATTCATATTCGATAAAGTTCAACATGTTTTTGATGGTGCTCTTACTTTATTCTACCTACAAGACCAACAAGTACAGACTTCTATTATTTGAGATGGTTGGTTGTCGCGGTGAGAATCGGAGACCGTAGCTATTGAGTTAGCTAGGCTTCACAAATCTTAAGATATCACCACCGATCTTTAATTTATCCAAGGGAAGGGGTAAAGAAATAATAACCCATAAATATGAAATGCAAAACAAAGCAATAAAGAGATATAAGGTTCAGGGGTTGGTTATATTAAGGGAAGGTATTAGCACCCTAAGTATCTATAGTACTCTATAGGAACCTCTTGTTGAATTTGTGTTATAGTTAAGTTTATTGTTTGCTAATTGGGATTAATTGGGGATATGAGAAGAGAAATATTTTTTATTTTTTTTGTGTTTGGCAAGACATAAAGTCTTGTGCCTACTTACCAATAAAGGATCAAAACCTCGTAGTTCGGGGTATAAATTGGAAAGAGTTTGTTTATGGTGAATTTTTATGAAGAAGAGACAAGTTGTCATTTTAAGGAGAATACTCATCTAAACTACCACAAACACATGGAAGAGGGATCTTTGCTTTACATTGAGAGAATGGCTCCAATTTGGATATAGAATTAACAAGTATGTCACATACCTCTCTCAAGTGGAAAAGAATCAACATCTTTCTCAATAATATCATGTGGTAGGAGATTTATATCTCAACTAATGATGACTAATGTCTAATCTATTTGAAAGGGTTTTTAAGTTGAAAAGCCAAAGGTGGCAAAAGAGTTGAGTTGAGTTTGTGTTTTTTAGTCTTTGTGAAAGAGTTTGAATATGCTTAAGATCACTTGAAGCATTTGTTAAGAAAAGAGTTGAAAAGATCAATGACCTAAAGTCAAGGTTTTTATTGAAAATGATTTTGAGTTTGAGAGAGGGAAAACCCTAAATGAATATCTAAATTGAAGGTAATCCTAAGGGAGACTTCCTAAGGGATAGAAAGTTCTAGGATTACAAGACAGATATGTACAAGAACGTAAACATGCATATGCAAATGACAATAATGTCAACAAATAAGTTCCTCCCTTGGATTTAGGCAACATGATAATCAAGTATGAATAATTATTCAAACAAAGAGGTAAACATGAGAACATGGTACAAGTATGGATAGACATTGATCAACAAACATGTACAAGACTTATAATCAAACATTTGATCATGGCATACAAAATTTATGTGGATGGACACATTTATTTACAAGACAAATTTCCACAAAACAAGTTTGAGAATCAAGGCATGATTTGAAATAAACATGGTGTAACAACATTATTCACAACACCAATACATTCATCAACATGAAGACAAAGGATTAAAGGTATGGTTTCAATCATTTTAGGTCAAGGATGCAAGTTCAACACATGGGCAAGTTTGAAACAAGTATAAACAAGAACCAATCATTTAAGGTATTCAAACAAGACAAAGATTGACATTTATTAGGTTGGAAATATTTTTAACAATTAATAAAATGAGAGAAAAAGTATATGAACATGGTATTAAACAAATAAGAGTGGAAGGAAATATTTTTAGGCAATTGAAATAAAAAGGAAAATAAAATATTTTTTGTGATTTTTTAAAGTTAACTTTAAAATAAAAGACATAAATAAAATATAAAATTAATATACAATATTGGTGGGGAAATAAAATAAATGAGGGTAATAAAATAATAAAATGTTTTTTGGTATTTTTATGTGTTAAAAAATAAAATAGGAGTAATTAAAATCAGAATACTAGGGACGTCGAGTTCCATAATTTGGAGAAGTTCCAGAACAACAAGCCACCTAAGTTCGAGAGTAGGTATGACCCAGATGCCGCGCGAAAGTGGTTGAAGGATATTGACAAGATCTTCAGAGTCATAGGATGTGCTGAAGCTCAAAAGGTGCAGTTTGGCACTCACATACTGACTGAGGAAGCTGAGGATTGGTGGGATAACACCCGTCAAAGGTTGGAAGTTGCGGGTTGGAAGTTGTGGGTAGTTTTATCAATTGGACGGTGTTTAGAGTTGAGTTTCTGGAGCAGTATTTTCCAGAAGATGTTCGTGGTAAAAAGGAGATCGAATTCTTGGAACTAAAGTGGGGAAACTCGGCAGTCGTAGTATATGTGGCCAAGTTCGAGGAATTGGGAAAGTATTGTCCTTATTAGAATACTGATGTTGTTATGAGTTCAAAGTGTATCAAGTTTGAGAACGGGTTGCGTCTCGAGATGAAACAAGGTATCACTATCATAAAATCAAATAATTTCCTGAATTGGTGAATAGGTATATGATCTATGATGAAGATAACAGGACTCGGGTTGCTCATTTCAAGACCCTGAGTGAGAAAAGAGGTAAGCAGAGGCACGAGGGCATGCCTTACAACACTCTGGATGATAAAGGAAAGCAGAAAGTTGTTGCTGACAAGAAGCCAAATGGGGGAGGAAATTCTTCCAACCCTATCAAATGTTTCAGATGTGGTGGCATGGGTCACCATGCTAATGAATGTTAGAATAAGGTGAAGAAATGTTTCAAATGCAGGAAGCCAGGTCATGTTATGGAAGATTGTAGGACCAATATACCTGCCTGCTACAACTATGGTGAAAAGGGTCACATCAGCACCCACTGTCAAAAGCCAAAGAAGTTGCAGATCGATGGGAAGGTATTTGTACTATTAGGGGCTCAGCCTACCAGTGAGGATCATTTGGTCATAGGTACTTGTTATATCCATAATACTCCTTTGATTTCTATCATTGATACAGGTGCAAACCACTCGTTTATTTGTGTTGATTGTGTGAAGAAACTAGGACTTGTGCCGTCTACTTTGAGTAAAGGGATGGTGATTGGTACTCCATCTATTGGGTCGATAACTACATCTTTATTCTTTAGTGTGCTTGAATTGTCTTGTGTCGATCTTTGGTAAAGACTTCGGAGTGGATTTGATTTGCTTACCACTCAGTGATCTGGATGTTATTTTAGGAATGAACTAGCTAGAGAACAATTATGTCTATATTGATTGTTATAGGAAGAGGTTGTTATTTCTTACCCCAAAGGAGGAAGATTTGACTAACTTTATATCTACCAAGGAATTTAGAATCTTGTTGGAGGATGAAGCTAAAATGTTCGCTGTGTTTGCCTCATTGCCAGTTGAGGGCAAAGCATCGATTGATGAATTACCTATGGTGAGAGAGGTTCCATAAGTGTTTTTGGATGATATTTATGAGTTGCCTCCGGAGAGAGAAGTAGAATTTGCAATTGATCTT